AACTAATGTTTTATTGAATTTTAAATATTTTTGGCTGTAAATTTACTATAGTCATCACTCTTATTTAATGATAATATTGTGTATGGTTGTCTGTATGACAGAAAATCAGTATGTTTGTACAGATAAAATTAAAATTCTTTTGAAAATATTGGAGCATGATAATTTGTAACAAGCTTTTCAATTTATGATTAGCAAATATAGTTTTTACTTAATAACAACATCACCTAGCCTGTTCAAATGAATACAGAAATGTAAAAGATTTAAAACTGTAAAAAAATTCTAACATAATGTCATTCATTTGTATGCAAGTCCTGAAAGTTTCATTAAATTCTGACAATTATTTGAGTTTTGCAAGAATTTCCAAATTGATGTTTTTTACTGGAAAAAGGTGCTAAATTTCCTAATACTAATCTTCTGGTCCACCAGCTGATGCAAGAAAAACAAGATTTTTAACCAAAATTTCAAATGTTCTAGAAAGGATAAAAAAAATTATTAAAATAATAAAAAAATACTTTAGTCTTTCCTTATAATAACATAAACAGTTTTTATCAAGTTTGGGGCTTTTTTTCAGTATGGTATGCTCTTTTTTCAGAAAATTAGAAAAGGTACTTATGTTTTTGTTAATTGTTTGAATCCAATTATTTTTTTCCAAACCGAATGTGGAGTAGCTCTTAAAACCATTTTATGACAGACAAATAAATAAATAAATGAATAGAACCAAATTTCAACCCAACCTACCTTTTTTATGACTTGAGTTGTTGTATAAAAAAAGATGATAACCTTAATTTTTATTTAACCTGAAATTGGTTTATTATTAGTTTGGAAGCATTTATGCAGCCTTGTGAGTGATGAATTATTTTCAACCCTAGAACTCCTTTCCCACAGTTGAAAAATCACCTAAACTTTTTAACATTTCCTTTTCAAACGTCCATCATATTTGTACCAATTTCTGTAGTGTGGAATCATTCCTCTTTGATAAGTCTCCTGATATAGTAGCTCTCTGCAAAACTAACCTGAGCTCATCAATCCCTTCCTCTGATTTCTCAACTCCTGGGTACCTTCCTCTCCTTAGAAAGGACTCTAAAATCCATATGCATGGCCTGGGAGTTTATGTCCATGAATCATCTCCTGCTGGCTAGAGAATTCTCTCTTGAATCACCAGACAATTCATATATGTGTCCCTGTCTATCTCTTCTCAATTCAGTAAGCTATCTCTTCTTTCTTTACTTTTCCCCCCCTCTTCTATTTTGTACTTGATAGCATTTCTGATAATATAGACAATGCCATCTCTCTACATCTGTTTGCACACATATTCATGTTTGGTGACTTTAAAACCCACCATACCATGTGGCTTAAACACTCTGTAACTGAACTCACTCGCATCCAAACCCTTAACTTTTCAATAACTCAATCCCTCATGCAAGTGGTTGACTTTCCTATGCATTTCCCCAGTAACCTGGATGGTAATGCTTCCCTTCTCAACCTCTGTTTTATCTCTATCCTTGATTCTTGTTGTGCTATACAGCTCTGCCCTCTTGGCAACTCTGATTTGTTGACATCTCCTTCCACTCCCCTTCCAGCCATAAACCTCCGACTAACAGAATATCTTTCTGTTATCAACGTGCAGACTGGGGCTTGTTCTGTGATTTCCTTCACGATGTCCCTTGGAATGTAGTTTTTAATTATCCCCTACAAAAATGTGGGTCTGAGGTCTCCTCCTGGGTAAAAGCTTGCACCAAGGCTTTCATCCCAGCAAGAAAATACAAAGTTAAATTGTTGTTCATCTCAAGGTTCTTGACAAAATCCAAAGATGGATATGCAATGTGATCGATCCTGACTTGGGGTCTCGACTCCAGTCACTTTCTCACCGACATAATGTGGCATCCCTCTGTCTTTACTATAAATATTTTCATGGCATCTTCTCTGTCAAGCTATTTTCACTGGTTCCCTGACTGCATGAATTTAAGCATCCTACTGTGTTGGCATCTCCGTCCCACCCTTTTACTATGGAAACAGTTAAATGTAACTGCTTCTTCTACTCCAACAACTTCTTCTCTTGCACCTCTTGACAGTGGAACTTCCTTTCTCTTACTTGCTTCCCTCATAACTATAATCTTCAAAAATTTAAATGTAATGTCAATTGACATCTGCTGCCTTGATCCCTCATTCTTTTTTTATCCTTTCCGTCTTCCATACCCAGTCTTTTCCCTTACTTACACTCTCTTTAGCCCCTTGCATACTAGTGATACTCGTTCCCTGCTTGGGGTGAAATGCTTAAAAAAGAAAAAGCTCATAAGCCTATCACTACTCTATCACTATTTCCATGTTTTAATGAGCTACATTCCTTTGTTTCTCCAGTTTAGACTTTTATAGCTAAGGCCCACCATGCCACATTCACAGATTTGAATCATCCTTGACTCCTTCATATTCCATTAGTAAAGAGGAAGTTCAGCTTTTTCTTGAGAACCATTAATTTGTGGAACAGTCTCCCAAGAAGATGCTTCCCTAATCATTGCAATCTTAACCACATCAAGTCTACAGGCACCTATTATCTATCTTACATTTCTGCACTTGCTGCCTTCACTTATGTCTATACAACATCCTCAGTAACATTCAACCTTGTTATATAGAAATAAATTTTGCTGTCGGCACTTGAGTTTGAACATAGATCACCAGTGAGCAAACATAGGTGATGACATTATTGAATTTAGTGGATCACATAACCATGGGAGAAACACATAAGTAGGAAGTTGCATGACGTCTAAATAATCTGCATTTCTAGTCTATCCTCTATTACTATTTGGATCGCTATTCTCTACTCTATTCACTATACTATTTCTCTTTTTGGATCACTATACGGATTACTGTTCGAGTGAGTATTATCAAGCAAGTATTATTATTGCGAGTGATATTCGAAGGCGTCTGACACTAGTATTGTTCAATGGAGTATTATAGTTGTATCTGTGATTACAAAGTCTCTACTACAACAAGCATTACAAAAGTGACAACAAGTATTTGTTGGCATCACAAAAGTGGCAACGAGTGTTGACATCACAAAAAATCTTGATGCTCTTCGACCTTATATTTGCTTTTTCTTTAGACATTTTTATTATTAAAACCTGGTGCAACTTTAGTTTTGTATAATAGGATTATAGTTACTGATTTCAATCTTTCGTAGGAATGACTACAAAACACTTTCCCTTCCCCTTTATAGGCAGAAGTACACAAATGCATGCTGGGATTTTTCTTTAACCAATAAAATAGGCCAATTTGCAGTTTTATATGACTCAGTCCCGATCTGTCTTGTGTTGAAGTCAGAATGCTATGTTTGCTTGTTTGAACTTGCTTTTGTGTATCAACACCAATTTTTAGTTTGTGAACTTTTTTACTGCCTCTTTGCCTTATTATTCTTGATTTGCCTCTTTGCTTATTATTCTTGATTTGCCTTTTAAATATTATTCTTGATTTGCCTTTGCCTGCCTTATTATTCTTGATTTGCCTCTTTGCCTTATTATTCTTGATTTGCCTCTTTGCCTTATTACTCTTGATTTGCCTCTTTGCCTTATTATTCTTGATTTGCCTCTTTGCCTTATTATTCTTGATTTGCCTTTTGCCTTATTATTCTTGATTTGATATTTTGCCTTATTATTCTTGATTTGCCCTATATTGTTTGCTTTTTGTTTTTATTGCAAACTTTTTCAATCCTGTTTGTTGGACATTTCTGTTATTTATTTTTTGCATTTGACCATGGCTACTCATTCCAGTCATCACTCTGGTGTCTGTCATGTGACTGTGAGTATACAAATAGGTTATATCTATGTGTAAAAATATTTATATATTAATTCAATACTTTGTGCTGATATCTACATGTTTATAATATTTTCAGTATTCTTATGTTTTCTGCAACGACCTACGTGTTTCAGCTTATTTTGCAACCCATGGATGCATTAATAATCCTACTGGAATATAAAATTCTATTATAATCAAAGTAAAAAAAAAATAAATTCCCCACTGTAAGGTGTGGCAAGGAGAGAAAATCAAAGAAAAAGATATGATTTTTTCTTTTCTTTTTTCTTTTTAAATTTAAGGTCAATGATACTGTTTTTGTTGTATATAAACTTGCAAATGAATAAGGTATTTAGAAAATCTTTGCTATATTACTTTGTGTTATGTTCCAAAATTGAAAAGCTAAAATGAAATTAACAGAATCTGCAAATGAAAGATATATTGTGTTTCAAACTATAAAAGTTATGTATCCATTTTTTTTTTTTAAGTAAAATAGTTCATGAATAGGTGTCTATTTTCTTTTTCTGAATTTTTAAGTTAAATTTATGCCGTGATGAAAGCTGAAAGTTTGTATTGACTATATATATTTTAAACCTTACTGCTAAAAATGGAATTCTCAGAACTATAGGAACTTTTATTTTCTCTTCTGAATTTCCATAAGGTAAAGTCTTAACTGAAAGAGCAAAGCAGCTTTTGAAAAATTTTGTAACTCATTTGTTGGAAGAAAGCTTTTGAAAGACTTACAAATCTTTTATTATTCACCTCACAATGATGAATGAAAAGGTGTGTCAGTTTGAGAAATAGGCCAACCTTAAAATTCTAAAGATTAAAAATATGAATTTTGGAAATGATTAGAAAGAGTAAAAATCTTATCTTGAGCTGACGGAAAAGAACATTTCAACTTGTTTCATTAATTCACCTTAATCATTCTGTACCAAATATCAAGAAAAGTCTTTAATGTTGTTCATTTATTTTAAGAAAAAAATCTCCCTTTACAGTCCATGGGGATTTTGTAAGAACAGAACTGATTAAATGAAGGAAAATACATTGCTTTGGTTTCAAAAGGATTTTTATTTTGCAAGGTGAGTTTCTGACAAGAAGCCAAACAATCCCTTGGGATGAAATCACAGACTTCTTTGCCATTTGAAAACAAACCTCATCATGCACCTGATTGTTTTGTGGTTTAAACATTGCACAGATTTCCCCCTTTCTCTATGTTTTTCTTCTTTCTCCTCCACAATTTTCTCCGCTTCCTCTTTAACATTTTTTCCTTTTTCTCTTTCCACTCACATTTTCTCCTCTTCCTCTTTCTACTCCACATTTTCTCCTCCACCTCTTTCCACTCCACATTTTCGCCTCTTCCTCTTTCACATTTTTTCCTTTTTCTCTTTCACATTTTTTCCTCTTCCTCTTTCCACTCCACGTTTTCTCCTCTTCCTCTTTCCATTCCACGTTTTCTCATCTTCCTCTTTCCACTCCACGTTTTTTCCTCTTCCTCTTTCCACTCCACGTTTTCTCATCTTCCTCTTTCCACTCCACGTTTTCTCATCTTCCTCTTTCCACTCCACGTTTTCTCCTCTTCCTCTTTCCACTCCACGTTTTCTCCTCTTCCTCTTTCCACTCCACGTTTTCTCCTCTTCCTCTTTCCACTCCACGTTTTCTCCTCTTCCTCTTTCCACTCCACGTTTTCTCCTCTTCCTCTTTCCACTCCACGTTTTCTCCTTCCACATTCCCCCAACACTTTATCCTCTTCCACCCCCACTTTTTCATCTTCCACCTACTCTACCATTTTTCTTCTTACTGTTTTCTCTCCTTTCTTCTTCCTCCCACATGTTCGCCTCTTTGTAACTCTTTCGTTTTATCTTTTCTCTCCTCATCTTTTTTATAACTACTATTTTTCATTTTTTTCTTTCCTGCTATAATCAAACATTAAAATCCATTTTTCTAGGTAAGATTTATTAACTAAAGTGAGATCAAGCCCTCCATCTCATGATTTGCATTATTTCACCTTTTATTGGGCAGAACATTTAAGCCCTTAAAATCAGATCCAAATAATAAAAGCAAAGTTCTTTTCATCATTTCAATTATTAACTCTGAAATATGACTTCTGTTTTCTGTAAACTTGCAATCTTCATGAATAAAATATTTCAGAAAGTGTTCCAGCAAATCAATGTCTATTGAAATCTAAACAAAATTATTCCCAACTAAGAATATATATATATATATATATATATATATATATATATATATATATATACACACACACATACACACACCTGTTTATGTGTCTATAAATGCCAAAAGTCATGGGATTGATGTATAGTATTTTGTAGGATGACTATCTGCAGCAACTCAACATGGAATCAATTCTGCTTATATGCTGAGCCATATCATTTTGATAACTAGTGACATTTCTTTGATATTTGTAGGCGCTTGGTCTTGCTCTCCCTCATGTCCAATATCTGGTGACTATCATGGCACCAACATTCATCAGAAGTCTTCAGAATGTTCCTCAAACCAATTCTGGGCATCCTTGGTCCAATGCTACAGTGTGTTATCCTGTTGAAATAAACTATCATTGTTGGGCTACATGGAGTCCATGAATGGGTAGAAATAGTCATGAAACAATGCAACAAAGAGGTAACTGGTTGATGTAATGGAATAACTAGTCACCCCCATGAATGATTACACTATAGGTAGTAAGTACCTATAAAGTCAACTGTCTATGAGAGACTGAGAGAAGAGAGCAAGATGATTTAAGCATGTCCGACCTTCCACTTAGTGGCACTCACTACTAGATTGACCCATGTGTATAACTGTACTGTATTTCAGATTGTACTTGTTGTGTACAATAAACCTTTCTTCTAGTATTCACCTGGTGTTATGTGTTTATTCCCTTAGCACGGAATATAACACTGGTCAAGGAAATGCTTAGGTGGTCCAGTGAACCCAACCTATAACATGTGGATATACACAATACCATAATGGAACTATCAGACTGTATGGTGCTTTGTTAACCCCTTCCCTGGCGTAGATTTGTGTATACATTTTTACCGAAAGTGTCTTTTTTATCAGACACGGATGGATAAACATTCGTTCAAAAACCAGCTGCAGACTTGCTTACATGTCAATCTTCATTCTTCTGAGCTTGAAATGAGTCCAATTGCCAATTCATATGTCAGGTAGAGGTGTTAGCCACTGCTTGGCTACATCAAGGTGCCTCAGTTTTTTAGTTACTATATTAAAAACAAATAAAAAAATTCATCTGAAAATGGAACTTTTTTTTACCAAAATAATTGATAGGGAAGAGTTTAACAACAGAGATCCATGGAATCATATGACCTGTGCCACTTCTGAATCCAACTATCAGCCCCAAACAACTGGAACTGCAATTCATCGGACCACACTACATGTTTCAAGTCCTCCAATGTCCAATTAGTGATATTACAAGTCCAGTTTTGGTGCTGTGGCCTGCGTTGTAATGCACCATGGTGTTTTTTTTTTTTTTTTGCTTCCAGACACCAATGGAACTGAAGAATATTGAACTGATATACTTGATATACATCTAATATCTTCTGCATTAAATGCAAACTCTAATAATTCCTGTTGCCCTGCCATGAACAGCGTTGGCAGTGTTTGTAATGATCCACCAGATGTCAAGATATTTCCATCATGAATGCATTGTGGTATTACCTACCATTACATACTGCTACCCCATAACTTTTGGCATATCACTGTGTGTATTTTATGATGTTCACTCTGTACAAGACCTGGGAGCCACTCGAGGTAGAAGGTTGCAGAGTAAGAGGCATAAATATCTAGTTATTTGCTTGAAGATAACACTTAACTCCTGACTTGAATGAGTTAAGATTGTAGTGATCAGGGAGGTGTACCCTTGGGAGTCAGTTCCACAAATCAGCGGTTTGTGGGAAAAAAGCTGCTTGAGTGGAACTTGCACCTCTTCACTGGAATACAAAGTAGTTCGCTACAATGTGCATGGCATGGCAAGTCTTAGGCATGAAGGTTAAACTGGTGGAACTAAGAAATATATTTTGTTTGAGCATTTTAAATGGAAATAGTCATAGAGCAGTGAGATGCATGTGACATTTCGTCTGCGAGAAAGGAGTTGTAGGGTGGAAATAATTCATCACCCACAAGGAGCAGAGATGCTTTTGAACTTGATTGTGTAGTTCCTGCCCAAATATGGCAGCAGTAATCCATTTCCAGCCCATCTAGCTCTTGTAAAAGTAGAGGATAGGAGGAGGAGTCAGGTACTTACTGGAGTTGGGTACTTACAGGGAACCAACCATTTTTCTAGCATCTTTAGCGATGGATTATATGTACAGGTTCCAATTGAGGTCTGGGTTGAGTAAGTCCCAATAGATGCTCAAGGCATGGGGCCTCCCTGATGGAACGCCAGTTCATTATTATTGGTAAAATTTTGCTCAGTAATGATGAAATGTAACTAGTTTGGTTTTCAAGGCATTGAATGATGTCAGATGGTTTTTCCCTCCTGCTGAGCTGTTAGATCTAGGTCAGAGGAGAGATCAACTGCTAATCTCAAGTTATCTAGAGTTTTGGAGAGGCAACCATATACAAACTTTGATGTTGAAGCAGGTGTGTTCCTTGGAGACAATTGTCCATTAGAATTCCTATATTCCACACTGCCAAAGTTGGTGAATGAGACCAGGAAGTCCAACAATGAGATCTGGTTTTGGTTTAAGGTGCAAATTTTCTACTTCTGGGATGGTTGTCTGATATAGTAAAACAGCCAGATGAAGAGAGCAGTGTCGATGTTTATTCTATCTTTTCTAGCGGTTTCTCTGTATTGGTGTTATGATGTTGATTTGGGGTTAGTAGAGACAAACGCCAAATAACACGTAACAATAAAAAGGGTTTTAATAGGTTGGTAAAAAGGTACAGAAATCGCCTGAGTAGTCAATAACTAGCTCAGCTAAGAACTTCTCTGTCTATCTATCTTCCCCATGTCAACTGACATGCCACTATTTAAAGTCTTTGTTCACAGACGCAGACAAGTTCATCTTCAAGAGGGGTGGTAGGTTTCCGACACAACAATAGGTGAGGGCACAGTTGCTAAAATCCTGCATTACTGCTACTTCACGGAGAAAAACTATCACATGCAAATCACTAATGTGTGTTTAAGAGCTAGAAGCATCCAACATACCAAGCCTGCTCACATTGTCTGCAGGGTCATCACAACTGGATTTTGTGTTTAGGGTGGATGATGGTTCGCATACTCAATGCCTATACACTTCACTTCAAGATCTCCTCCATGAGATGTTTCCCAGGATCCGTGTCTAAGACATAGGAATTGGGTTTTTTTACTCCCTAAATTTGAATCTGTGTAACCTAACCTTCAGTGAATTCTGAACTGAACCCTTTATTTAATCTATGGAGATAGACTGTTCTCTTTCCACTGCCCATGTCTAGAGATATCTTGTCTAGTTCATATTTTAGTATTGCTTGGTTATAGCTTACCCTGTCTCCATTGAGTCCAAGTACACACTGCCTGACCCAGGGATTGAACCCCAATCACTATGTCACCAAATTCACAAACCAATGATTTAATCCACTAGGCCATTGTCACCATTACATTATGTATCTTGGAAATGAATTAAAATACCATTGCCACCTTCACATTATTACTCCTGCCATCCTATAGAACAGCCTAAATGAAATCATACATTGTTTTCTCTTCTTGTTGCCATCAATCTGTCCTGTAAGTATCAAATTCTCCAAGCCCTCATTCCTCATGTACCCTGGAAATTTCAACTGCTTCTTCCTGATGTTATGTATTTGTTTTTTTTGTTGCCTTTGTCTTTAGAACTATATTGTTACTCACATGTTCAGTCCATGGTATTCTCAACATCCTTCTGTAGAAACACATCAATTGGGATCAAAGAAAGACAGGGTACAACTGGTACACCAAACATATGTAAAAATTGCAACAGAACCCTTTATTTAATTTACAGGGGTAGACTGTTCTCATTCCACTGATCATGTCTAGAGATATCACATCTAATTCTTATTTTTAGTACTGTTCCATTATTGCTTGCTCTGTTTCCATTGAGTCAAGTACACACTGCCTGACCCAGGGATTGAACTCACAATCACTATGTCACCAAATTCACAAACCAATGATTTAATCCACTAGGCCATTGTCTACCATTACATTATGTATCTTGAAAATGAATTAAAATACCATTGCCACCTTCACATTATTACTCCTGCCATCCTATAGAACAGCCTAAATGAAATCGACTATGCTCGGACATATTCCATCCCAATCCTGAAAATAGATGACGCATCATATCTAAAATGTGACTGGGTTGAATTTTCAATTTTGTTTCATCGATTCAAGGAGTGGCTTGTCAGGGTTGGGCTGTATACGTTGATTAAATTTGCATCTTTTAAAGTTTAACAGTTAATCTCCATTGTTGTTTCGTTGTCTGATAGATGTGGATGTTTGGCAATGTGGAATTCTATTGAGATATACATCAGGCAAAGAAAGTTGGCAAAGATGTTGGTGGAAATTTGTTTGCTTTAAAAATTGTCCAAAATAATTTCAATTAATTGATTGAAACTTTTTTTTTTTTTTTTTTGATTTGTTCCAGTTGAATGTAAAAATTCTGAAGGTTTAACTTTTTCCCATCATATTTTACTACACAAAACATTGGCATTGAATTTCATAAAAGAGAGATTATGGAAGTTCTTTTTTTCTTTTTATATGCCATGTCCTTTCAGGATGTAGGTGATCATGGCTCTCCACCTCCTTCTATCTTGTGCAGCTCTCAACAAGTTCCTTCCCTCTGCTTCCTTCCCCAGACCACATTTTGTCATCCACTTGCATAAGTCTGCCAGGTATGTCACACATTGTTTTCCCTTGTCTCTCTTTCCCTCT